TTCCAAAACAGATTTAAACTTATATGGGAATTAAATGTTATGTCATCCTGGCCAGACTTCATTTTCAAAATATTGGGCCACGAAAAAGGAAGAAAAACCTACTTTCTTCCCAGAGCCAAACTAGTTGCGGTGATAGTGACATATTTAAAGAAATCCAGCTTTATCCGCTGTTTTTAGGAGTAAAAGCAGCCACAAGCTTTAATATAGAAAATGGTTAATGTCTTTTCCCCTGATTCTTTCAGAATCTTTAACCCACCCTTTCCTGCTTCTCTCCGGCATATCTGGAGCTTTATTAAATTACAGTTTCTGCCACATGGCTTTTATTACACACCCGTGCACTTTCATCCCTCCCAACACTCTTCAGTCTTAATATATGGTAATAAACTTTATTTGACCACTGATGGGGGAAAGAGATATGTTGGTGTATCTCTTTGTTGCCATCTAGTGAATACCTGATTATTGAATCATGCAATGATCTTTATTTTATTTTCATTTATTGGCATGGTGTTTATCCTGGAATAAGCTGTTTATCCAAGTATAAATTATCTCGCACTGTTCTAAGCTGTAAGTGATTTGTTAATTTCTGCCTTCGTTATGTTACGTTAGTTAAGTTGCATTCAGTTCAGCTCATCTATCTTATAAATCATGGTTTGTACCTTATTTGGAATATTTAACAAAGCACGGTCAAATTAAACCCCGACATAGTGCAACTTGCAAACTAGTCATTATCATTAAGACTGGTTGAGGTTCCGTAAGTGAATTTATTTGGAATTTTTACTAAGGATGCCCTCATTGCTTTGAATTGTAAACTGTTGTTTTTCCTTGGAAGATCTGATAGTGTACCTATCTGATGTCAGATGCAAAGAATCAGGACCATTTGTTCAGTTGAAGTTCAGAAGATTTATTGCTCATGCATATACACAAGAATCTAGTCAACTAAAATTCTATACTAAATTATTGCCAGATAAGGGTCAAGGGATTCCAAGAGGGGCTGGAGTTTGATATTTGTGACAACATAATGACTCTAGGCTGATGACTTGTTTAACTCCACCCCCCTACATCTGATAGTGTATTGAAAGAATGAAAGTCTCAGCCTTTGTTTCGCTACTTGCTTTCAGCTGCCATTGAAACGGGGAGGGGGAGGCCTGGTATTTGGGAAGGGAAGTTTTAAGTACAGGAGAGATTGTGAAAAGGGAGTTTTGTTCTCACCATCTACTGCGCATGCTGGAGATAGTGCTTGGTTTGGTGAAGACTAACCGTCCTGCATACCAACCTGATGATGCTTTTTGAAGNTGTTGTCGCCCTGTTGATGACGTCAGCGACGCGGTTTAGTCGGGCACGGTTTAGTCGAGCGCGGTTTTGTGGGTGAACCGGGCTGCGATGCTGAAACTTTTTTTATACATTGATCCAAAAATCTGTAATGTCAAACATTAATATCATGAATATTATGGCATATTATTAAACATATTATTTATCATACACACAAACGTATGTGTGTGTGTGCCATATTTTTTGGCCTATAAGATGCACTCCCCCTGCCCCAATCTTATGGAGCAAATATTGCAACTGGGGGGGAGGGGGGTTGGTGCTGCAGCGAGCAGCTGATTACTGGTTGGATTGGCCTCCCGGAATATTTCCAATCAGCTGTTCTCGGTTGGGGGGATCCTTGCCGCCATTTGCTGCTGCCACCGTTCACCACTGCTGAATGGTGGCGGTGATTGGCGGCGGTGGTGAATGGTGGTAGCGATCCCTGCTGCCTAAAACAGCTGATTGGCACTATTCCAGGAGGCCAATGCAACTGCCAATCAGCTGCTCGGCAGCAAAAGCTCCAACACAATGGCAGTGTTTCCGGTCAGGCAGCCTACAATACTCTAATGTCCTTTTGGCCACATAGTGGACAGTAGTTTTCATTAGCCAGTATACCAATATTTCGTATTATTCCTGGGTTGATATGTCCCCCACTCCCAAGAATGTATCTGGGATCAGAAAATCCTAGAAACCCACCCCAGAATTGCCCAAATACCCCTATGCTTTCTCTGCTGCCTCCTTGCTGAACAGAGGGACCCTATTCTTGTTCATGTTCTGCCTCTCCTCTCCTCCCCTCTTCCCTCCCCTCCTTTCCTCCTGTCCAGTAGAGTCCTGCTGCCTTTCCAGCAGAGAAATTTTCCTTGCATTCTTGCTTGTTTACTCGCACCTGGTCTTTCTTGAGAATGAACCAGTCATTGCAGAAAGACTCTCACTGTGAGAAGATCAAGCCTGGTTGTCCTCCTTCCTCCCCTTAAACAGCTCTAGCAGCTTGGCCAGGCCTTGCCTTCCCACTTGCTTTGCCCAGTGAGCCCAGTGCCACCCAGTACCCAGATTCCCAAAGGCTCTTGTTGATTATCATGAGAGTCTTTGGGGCATTAATTGTGGTCAACCAACTGCCCAGGCTCCCCTGTGGTCAGGAGGTTGTCAGTGTGAGCCAAAGTGAACTGTGAGGCTTTGCTATAAGATTGTATGTCTTTGAGAAACTTTGAGGACAGTGCTCCTCTTTTGCCAGCAGCAGGAGGGCCAACAGAGTACCATTGTAGAGTGCTTAACATGGCTTGTGTGGGCTTAAGGCTGTTAGGAGGATCCTGGTTTGATTCAGCACAATGGACAATGGACATACAAAGGACCAGGCTGCTTGGGTGATTTGGTTCTTTCTTTCTTTCTTTCTTTCTTTCTTTCTTTCTTTCTTTCTTTCTTTCTTTCTTTCTTTCTTTCTT